TAAATTATATTAAAATATAAAAAATGGTATAAGCATAAACTAAATTATTTTTAATTAATTCACTCTTTAATTATATTTCTTGTGCTAAGATCCAAAGTAATTAAATTTAATAATTCAAAATTAATAAAAATTTTATTAACAGCATTCGGCCTCTCGGCTTGCAAAACCACCTACCTACACAAAACTCGCATTTTATGTCAATTTAATCTTCGTATACTCAGAGGTTAAAATGAGTTAAAATGAGCATAAGGAGTATGAAGCCAAGGGGAGCGACACTCCCAGTCTAACAAGTGCATTTCCAAATGCTGCTCATAAAACTAACTGCTCCTATAACTCCAGATTTCAAGTCACTCGCTCAAACTACGTATAGTTTTGGTTTCTATAGAATTTTATGATTTAAAAATAAATAAATATTACACATTTACCATCTTGTATTGTTTCAGGACTCTGCAACTTAGGTTCGGTCAGCTATTGTATCATTTGCGCATATACATATATTATAAATATAAAATATATTTTCTTTAGCAAAATAATATTTAAGCCACGTTTTTTTTCGCACTTTAAGGATTTAGTAACCTTCAAACAGCGCAGTTTATGCGGCTGTCGCAAAGTTTATCTCAATATCTAAAAGCCTATCCATGGCCACGCACACACACACAGGTACATCTCCACATACACACACACACWCACACATGTGCTTAGACAATGCAAGGTATAAGTATTTTGGGCATTTTGCCAGTCTGTCACAAAATGCAGAAGCAAAAGCAATAAAAGTATGATATTGTCGCCCCCTCCCACTTCCCTTCACATCCCTGCCACCTCAGCCAACTCAACTGAATCTATGCAAAAATTATACTTGTCTTGGCTTTTGTCGCTGATGGCTTTGGTTTGCTTTTGTGGGCCATTTTGCATTTGGCATTTTTGCCAGCTACTTGTGCACATTCATATATAATATTTATGCCCATGGTGCTAGGCTAAATGGCCGAAATATTTATTAGACACAAATGTCAGAAGAAATTGCCATAATTATTAGCATGATTATGGGTCTATGCGTTTATTGCGTTCTTATGCTTGTCTGCACTCAAGACAAATTTTGACGGCGCTCGATAATTTATGGGGGGCCTTCTCTAGCAATAGGCATTCAAGCTCACACACACACAAACACACACAGAGGCACAGACACAAAGTGTATTTCTCATATTTGAAGTAGCCTAAGCCAATGGCTATTAAGTTTGATGTGCTGCTCATTAGCGACGGATGCTCATCATCATTAATGCGCTCTGGTCAAAATGCGGCCATTACCTCCACGTTCACCTCCCCCTTCACCAACCGCTTCCGCCCCTCCGCCCACACTGTCAGCTTTTTCCTTCTGTCTCAGTCTCCTGCATATCAATTGCCATTTGCGGCTTAGAAGCTTACGCAATTTGCATAAATCTGTATGGGTCAAATGATCAGCTTTAGACATTTCATATTCCTATATAATACACATACACACTCACACATACACACTCACACATACACACTCACACACACACATGCATACATGCATACAGATGAAATCTCTGCACTTTCACTTGATTGCATTTTGCAACTGCTGCTCCTTTTGCTAAATGCCCGACAAATTTCTCCACAAAGTACACCGCACCACACAGACAGCAGCAACAGCACCACCACCGTCAGCACCACACATTTTGCATGGCAGCAATTAAATGCTAAAATTTTGCACTTCCAACTTTTGCAAGCAACCCATGCATCGATTTGTATGCAAAAATTCACTTTTGCGGTTGTGAATTCAAAATTTTGCATGTCATTTCATGTTTTTGTTGTCGTCATATATGTGTGTGTGTCCGTATCTGTATGTGTGTGTGTGTGCTATAAAATATGCATGGAAGAAGTAGCTAAAAACGAAACATTGTGCACATTACTGTGGTCCACTATATGCATTCACACACACGCACTCATACACTTGGACATCAGCTTCGCCAGCTTCGAACAAAAGATGCAGATTTTTGTTTATGATTATCGATTGCTAGCAAATATTTTGAGCTGAAATTCATTCAGTTGGAAATATATAGAAAAACAAATGGTAGACCGAACTGCAAATGTATATCATTTGAATTTAGTTTTTAATTACTTAAAATGACTTTAATGCACTTTGGCTATGGTATATTGTGTATTGGAATTTCCATTGAAATTAACAAGAAAAGAAAATGGTTTTCCAAGCAGTTGTATAGGAGACTATTGAATTGCATTTTAAATATATGAAATGAATTCGCTTTGAATATTATGGAAGTCGTGGCAGTTTTTAATTTTATATCCATATAAAATATTTCCATTTACTATTTGTGATATTGAGAAGTCTATCAGTTCTTCTAAATGTATTTCGACATTTGTTTTCATGCAATTAGTAATGCTTGGAAAGAGACGAAATGCAACTGTTGTTGCTGTTACTGTTATTTTAATCAAATTAAAAATGCAACCTACTGCGACTTGTGTAAAATTGTAATAGCTGTTGCAGCTGTTGTTGTTGCATTGCCCTTGCAAATTGTAAATTATTTAATTGTACAGTTTGCACTTTTCTGTTTTCATTTCAAGTGCCAGGAGCAGTCGCTGAAACAAGCAGCAGGGCGACAAATGCGCAGCATGATTTATTAAAACAGCAAAAGAAAAAATTTTATATATATATATATATGTATATATCAGAAAGGGGCAAGAGAGGTGGGGACCAACGCGTTG